AAGCAGAAAGAGACGCATGATGGGGAGGGGGTGGGCGAGGTGAGTTTGAGTCTTGAGTGCGTTAAACTATTCAAACTCGTAACTTAAGATATTTGTTGACTGTTCCATTTTACGGCCCGAACCGGATGTGAAATCCGCACGCACGCCTGCATGCGGTATGCGGTGCAAACGTACGACTGGTGACTGGTCTGTTTGATGGGAAATGATTGGGCGCGAACTTCAAGCAATCCGGAGGTCCATGCTTTGTCTTGTAACTGTAAAATTTCCTTACATCATTTACAAATTTGCGACAGCCTAGTTTTCGACGCATCCGTGCAACAAAGGCGGATCAAAAAGCGGTCGCTGAACAATGATGGATCAGAGAGCGGTCGCTGAACATCGACGGATCAGAAAACGGTCGCTGAACAACGACGGATCTGCTTTTTGCTGATCTCGGCATATTTGACTTTGGAGGCCTCTCACTCATCGCGGAGACGTTGTATCGTTTTCAGTAAAACATCATTTTAATTGTCATCATCTCGTGAATGAACAGAGACAACACCCAACACGATGCGATATCTCTAAGGAGAGTAAGAGGCCTCCAAAGTCAAGTATGCAGAGATCAGCAAAAAGCAGATCCGTCGTTGTTCAGCGACCGTTTTCTGATCCGTCGTTGTTCAGCGACCGCTTTCTGATCCGCCGTTGTTCAGCGACCGCTTTTTGATCCGCCTTTGTTGCTCGGATGCGTCGTTTTGTTTGTCGATCAATTCCAAGTCGACACAAAGTGCTCTTGTAAATAAACAACTTTCCAAACTGGAAAATTTTACCGTAAACCTCTGGTCATTTTTCACACTGATGCCGCGGTTACTTTTCTTCATTCAAATATACACCCCCTGAAAAAAAGTGAAACGCGTGAGAGTGCCTAAGTTGCACATGCTCAGTCTATTGACCTGACCGGTTTACTAATTTATCCAAGGACCATTAAGTAGATGGACTACGCATTCGGTAGTTTCTGCGCGCATTTACAACCGGGCATGTCAACCCGCCGCTGACAGGTTGGGCACCGCTTCGGCACTCCTCGGCCGGGCTCGGGGCCTGCTCGGGGCCTGCTTCGGGACCCACCTCGAGCCGAGCGAGGACCAGCGAGGACGACGCCAGCGGGGCCTCGCTCGCTCGGCTCGAGGTGGGTCCCCAAGCAGGCCCTGAGCAGGCCCCGAGCCCGGCCGAGGAGTGCCGAAGCGGTGCCCAACCTGTCAGCGGCGGGTTGACATGCCCGGTTGTAAAGGCAACACAGCGGGGTTCAGTTTGCGTAGTCCATCTACTTAATAGTCCTTGAATTTATCTCCTTTCCACGTTGCGCCTGCGCCCGAATTACGGCGCTCTTTTTTTCGGCACGCAGGACCTACTGGGTCGTAAGAACAACTTGGACGGAAGTTAGACGGCCGACAGGTCTGGTGCGACGTGAAAAAAGAACGACCGTAAAGCGAGGGCGGGGAGGGAGGGGCTGAGGGGGGCAAGAAAACGGAAGCGTCGCGACTGAATGAACAAGGCGGTATAATTAATTCGGAGAACAATACCCTGCCGTCCCGGACTGTCCCAAACGCACCAGCCGCGGCGGCGCGGCAGCGGCACGGCAGTGCCCCGGCCGCCCCGCGGGGTAATGACATGGAAAATATGGCAAGCGCCTAAAATAAGAACCGCGCCGTGGCGATTGGGCGCGAAGCCACCGGCTCGCTGGTGTGTGTGTGTGTGCGCGCGCGCGCGCGTGTGGCCACCGGTGCGGCGTTAGGAGGGGAGGTGGCGTCGGCGAAAATGTTGCGTGACTTGGGCGTTGACTGTGGTTGTTTGTCGTCCGTCTACGCGTCGTTTGGTTATTCGCAGGGGTCATCGCGTTGTGTCCAACGAGTTGTGAAACGCGTGCTGACGGATAAAGAAGGTTTTATGATTACTGATGCGAATCATCCTATAACACATCTTGTGACAATGACATTGCAACCGGGAGAGTTCATGATTAGTGCAGACTGTTATTTTAAATTTTACGACGAACATCCATTGCTTTTCACGTTGCATAAAAATGCTACATTTTGGTGTTGTTCCAAAATTGTTAGTTGATTATTTAAGTTTGGTTTTACAATTCGGCCGGTTTGTATTTACTTTGCTTGTGACACAGATTTCGCCATAAGCTCACGTTGCAAAGCCCTCTTTTTTTCCCTTGTTTTCTAATGTTGTGGTGAAAACAATTTCGATCCCGTTTTCCGGGTTGTAACCTCGTCCTGGACGCGCGCGCGCCTGCCCCGCTCTCTCCCCTCCCTCCGGCGCATTAATATTTCATGGACGCGGGGCGGCGGAGGATGGACTCCTGTCGTACAGATTGAAGCGGAGTGGAGTGGTAGGACAGGCGGGAGGGGGAGGGTGGAGGCGCCTGTCCTCTCGGCGCTTTTAGGGGATGCGACTCGAAACAGAATCTGGCGCCAAAAGAGATGAAAAGTCGCGCGTCGTTTGGGATTTATCGTTTCGGCGCATTCGAAAGGCGTATCGGGTTTCTCACTTGTACGTAGCCTGTCGTGTTGGTTTACTTTACATGTGCGGTGCAAACGGGATACAAAGCCGCGGCAGTAAAGGCACGACATTGCGACTCTCTTTCTCCCCCCAACCCTTTCATTTCCGCCTCGCCTTTCACTCCCAGCTCCCTCCCTCCCTCCCGCTCCCCTCCCCCTGTCCCCTTTATCTCCGCGCAGTCCCGCGGGCGCAACACTTCAGCGTGCGGTGTGGCGCCGCGTGGCGCCGCCGCCCTGCGCCTCGCCGCGCTGCTGCCTCGCCGCGTCGCGCTGCGCTCGCTGTGCCTCGCCGCGCCGCGCATTCCAGCCAGCCGCCCAAGATGACGCCGCAGTCCAATTTCCGCGGGGCTTTGAGCGAACCACCCCTCCAGCGCACCCCCCACCGTGCCCCGCACCACTCCCCGCCCGGCTCACCCCGCGCCGTCCCTCTCTTTTCCTCCCCTCGCTTCACCCTCCTCCTTCCTCCCCCCGCGGGGCACAGCTTGCCCGGTTCTCACCGCCCTGGCACGCGTCACCTGGCAGCTCTGCGCGCTGCTCACTAAATATTGCACCAGCTTTCTCTTGCTCACGTTGGTGCTGAGTGACCGGCAAGGATTTGCAATTAATTTTACGTGAAGGAAGTGTAATTTGTTTCTCAATTTCTCTCTGTTACGGGTGGTTTCATTGTGAAATTTTCCTTTCACGTTCACCACGCGCGACTCGAGCTTCAGTTTATTCGTGTCCAACGTTTAAACGTTACGTTTTCACTTTGGTAGTTTTACTCCCCGGTGTATAAACAATGTCTGATTAGGGTCGTTTTTAGCGCACAGCCTGGTCAAGGAGGA